CTGTGATGGTGATGTTGTACTCAGCAAGGGTCTCTCTGTCTAGGGGACTTTGGAGTACAAGCTGATAAAAGTTATTTGTGGTGGAGTTCAGCACAAAAGGGAGGTTCATCTCCACGGAACAGAACGTTTTGCTGTTATCTCCAGAGTCTTCATCTCTCACACTGAAGAGGGCCACAACCTTCTCCAAAGGGGAATTCTCCTTTAAGATACTAGTCAGAGATATGATGGACACTTCTGGGACATTGTCATTCACGTCCTCAACCTCTATTAGTACCTTGCAGTGCCCTGAAAGTCCCCCTCCATCTGTTGCTCTGACATTTATGCTATAACTCCTTTCTTTTTCATAATCAGTCTGGTCCATAACAGTGATTTCTCCAGTCCTTTCATTTAAAAGGAACAAATTGTTTATTCTTTCAGGCACTCGATGGAATGAGTAGATGATTTGTGCATTTGAACCAAAATCAAGATCTGTAGCTTCCAGTTTAGCCACTACAGTGCCCTTAGGGAGGTTTTCCTTTATTCTTACCTTATATTCAGATTGAGGAAATTGAGGGGAATTATCATTAATGTCTAGAACATCAATGTTAATTTGAACAGTGCCTGTTTTCTGTGGTACCCCACCATCAACAGCCATTAGGGTAAGATTAAGGTATGGCATCTTTTCCCTATCTAGTGTTTTCTTCAGAACAAGATCCACATTGTTAATTCCATCTTTGTTCCTTTGCACATCAAGCCAAAAATGTTCGTTAACGCTGAGTGTATAGTTTTGGATGCTGTTTTCTCCCAGGTCCTCATCGTGTGCAGATTCCAAGGGGAATGCCATACTTGTAGGAACATTCTCAGGAATTGCAATCTCAAATTCATTTTTAGAGAATTTGGGAGCATTGTCATTTATGTCTTCTATCTGTATTTCAATATTGTATGATTCCAGTGGGTTGTCAAGCACAATTTGAGAAGTAAGTACGCAAGAGTCTTTCTGGCTACACAGAACATCTCGGTCTATTTTATCATTTATCAATATATCCCCAGTATGAATATCAAG